TTTTTTTTTTAAACAATACACAGAAATTTTTAAAAATCTACTTAGCAGCAAGTAACCGCACGCACACTAGAGGCAGCTATTACTCACTTTCCATTTCCTCCAGACACGCTTTATAATGCTAGCAGCCCTACGCATCCTTTGGAAATGTTTCTTGGCTAGCCAGGAGCGAACAGCTGAAGGTTAATTAAAAAAAGAGGAGACTTAATTGGAGAACAGAGGAGCTCAAAACACTTATGATGAAAGAGCCTCACAGTGTGAGACAACATTGAATGTTAATCTTTGTGTCAGTGCTGAGTTATTGTGCCACCCCCACGCTCTACCTGGTCCAACTGGAAATGTAAGTTAAGTTACTCTTCGCCACACCCATACCTGCTTGGATAATGGTAACAGACCATCTCTGCTTTGCAAGCTTCCTCTGCTTAAATCTTCTCCAGCAACACTGAATGCAAAATGCTCTCTCGGAAAATACTGCTGCTCTTCTGGCTTCCAGTTGTTCTAGCTGTGGTGAACAAAAACCCTCTGGTTGGCAATCAACGTATTTATTGAAAGTTTAGGATCAGCTGCATTTATAACCCAGATCCATGGGGATTTTGCATGTGCAAATGTGAAAGGGTAGGAAGCTGGGCATGGAAGAACAAGAGTGTCCCTTTCATTTAAAACCAATAAAAGGCCTATTTAGAGGTTACTCCAGTTGCCTGTTTCATAAGCTTAGCTCTAATTCAGTAAAGCATGCAAGCACGTGCTTCTGTTCCTCTGCTCCAGGTGCAGACTTTGTGAATAAAGGCTTGACTTGCAGGGGAGGAACTGAGCTTTTCTGCTGAAGTTTTTTTAAGACTGTTTCATATTTTGCTATTTTTAGTGAAGTTGAGACAATATAACGAGTGAGTAGGAAAGACTGGTCTCTCTACCTATTATGGAGACTAGTCTTTAAGGCAGATTTCTACTTCTATTGGATTGCTATTGCATGGCATAAGCAGATTTTTTTTTTTTTTATATTGTGAGTTGGGATGCTACATTTTGGCTTCAGAGAAGTCAGTACGAGTTGTCACTGACCATGGGAGTAGGTTGTATACACGTATATGAGCACCTTCTGTTTTTAGCCCAGGAGATTGGGATGTGCACATACTTACCATAGAGTTCGTCATAAATACTTTGGTTTTGCCACAATATACCAAAGAATTGTTGGCTTTGGCTTCTGTTTGCTTGAGGGAAGCTGCACTTTGTGCCCCCACCACGTTCTGAAGAACCTCCTGGATGACGGAGCGCAATGCTTCATCACTATGCGGCATCACAGTCCCACCTGCAAAATGCAAGATGGTGAAGGGAGAAGTCGATCATCAAGTAAAAAGTCCTACAGAGACAAAACATCCATCATTTTGTCTACAAATCTCTGGCTGAGTTTACACTGCAAAATGAAGGCAAGTGTAGCAAGTACTAGTGTAATGTAGCTATGTAATATATCCAGCGATCCTAGGCACGTCCCGAACCAGCTGCCACACACCGCTGCTATTGGTATGTGTGCTAGCTAGACTTAGCTAGTAAGTGCTGCACTCGCGTCTTCATTTTGTGGTGTAGCTCTAGTGTTTGAAACTTACTACACAGAACATAATTAAGAAGAGGCAGCGACGCGGTTAAGAATCAAACAGATCAACACAGACAGATCCAGTGTAATACAGACGGCAAAGAACTGGAGTTACAGTGAACTATCAAAAAAAAAAAGGGGGGGACGACGGGTATAGTTCTAATGACAATGCTCGTTCTTAACTTGTTACCTGTCAGATAAGGAGAGTTGGTAGCCAATCAGCCTGAACCATTTTTCATGAAAGTACCCAAAAGATTTCAAATTGATTTTTGGTTTCAATTTTTTTTTTTCCTGCCTACATTTCCTTACTGCATTTAACCAAGTGATCAGTGTTGGCTAGAACTTAACAGGTTTAGAACTAGCTGGAGTTTTGTCACTGCTGGTTGACCCTTCATCACTTACTACATTTTTCTCTGGGTTAAGGTAACATACATTAGATTATGAGGAAAAATGGATGAATGTGCAGTATCCAATTACAAAAGTTAACAAGTAATTAGGGGGTTTCCTAATAACTGCCCTACCAGGAATTCATACCAAAGCTGTTACCTTTTGAATCTGTTTACATTTTTT